CTCTCCTCGGAAGACTTTGTTCATCATTCATTGTTAGGTGGCGCCGACGTTTTTTAGGCCGAAGGGCATAATGTTGTAGTAGTAGTTGCTCGTTTCGGTCATAAACGTCGTGCTCTATTTGTCGGCCTCGGCCATGGGTATCTGGTTGTACTTCGAGTACGCGTCCATGAAGGACAGTAGTTTGAAGCCCGCCGAGTTGTCGATAAGCTTGTTGATGTTGGGGAGGGGATATGCGTCCTTAGAACATGCCCGGTTGAGATCTGTGTAGTCAACGCACATCCTCCATTTTCCATTATTTTTCTTAACTAGTACAATGTTGGACAACCAGGTTGAATACCGGGCTTCCGAAATGAAATTTTCCTCTAGGAGGTCTTTTACAGCTTTTTCAGCCACCGCCGAATTTTCGAAGGATTGCCTGCGCCTACGTTGCACTACAGCCCTAGCGGTCTGGTTGATGGAGAGCTGGTGGTAGGCGACCTCAGGGCCGAGTCCAGGCATCTCTGTGGCGCGCCAGGCGAAGAGGTCGTCATTCTCACGGAGGCAGGCCTTCAGCTGCTTCCTCGCTAGGTCGGGCAGCCCCACCCCAATCTTCACGGTCTTCGTCGCGTCTGCTCCGAGTGTCACGATCTCGAAGTCCCCATTTAGAATGAGGCGTGTTGGGTGGAAAGGATGCCCGTTGGTGGTTGGAGAGGCGTCACTGACTTTGTCCTCGTGGTTAGGCTCTTCGGTGAAACGAAAGTTGAGGTCCACGACGTCGACGTGATCCTTCGGCTTGACCTCTCGAATGAGAGGTGGCTTAGTTGCTTTGGTCGTGGGACCGATTGTACTAAGGCCCTTCATCGCTGCGTCGAAGCACCGACGAGCAGCCTCGATGTCCCCGTTGAGGGTGACGACGACTCTCAGCCTGGTGTAGTACTTCATCTTTAGGTGGATGGTTGATGGTACTGCGGTAAGTTCGGCCATCGTTGTCCTGCCTAGGATGCAGTTGTACAGAGACGGGCATTCGAGGACCAAAAAACGGACGTTGATTTCCCTGGCTGTTTCCTTTTCCCCGAACTGACCTTGAGCTCCATGTATCCCCATGATCTCGTCGTCGTCCCGTTGAAGCCCTGTAGATCGGAGCCTAGGTAGGGGAGAAGTTGGATTCATCGAGCTGAAGTGTCGCGAAGAGATGGGTGTACATGATGTCCATCGAGCTCCCCCTGTCGACCAGGATGCATCGAACGTCGAAGTTGGCCATCTGCGCCCGGATCAGAAGGGGAATGTTCGAGTTGGGGGCTCCCCCGGGGAGCTCCTCGAGATAGAACGTGATCGGATTGGGTCGACCTTAGAACTTGTCAAGCATGCTCATCTTGCCGGAGTTGTTGCTTATAAGCTCGTCGAACTTCCGCTTAACTGATCCCACCAAGAGTTTGCTCGGGGTCCCGCCGGAAATGACCATTGCCCTCGGGAAGTATTTCCACCGGATGGTGGGGCGTACCGGCTCCTCGGGTAACTGAATCTCGGCGGGAAGGTTGAACTCCCTTAGGGAGAACCAGCCCTCTGGTCGGCTAACGGTGAAGGCTACCTGTAGGCCAGAGTCTTCGTGGGGAGGAGGGAGGTCCTCGACTTTTTTAGCCTCAAGGGCCTCCTGCCGTGGTGGGTCTCCTCCCCGGGTGTACCTCTTCAGATGCCCGTCTTTGATCAGAATTTTGATTGCATCCTTCAGGTGGATGCAGTCCTCTGTCACGTGACAGTGGCTTCGGTGGAAATAACAGTATTTAGATTTGTCCACGTTGGCTTTGGTGGGTGCCGGTTTCGGAAAACGGACACTTCCCTGGACAAATTCTAAATTGGCGCACTCCTCCAGTATGCGCTCGCGGGAAGTGACTAGTGTCGTGTATTCGGTGAAACGGCCGACAGGGCCCCGTTGATCGCGGGGTTCTCGGGGGTGGTCCTCCCGTCGTCAGTCTCCTCCCTGGCGTTGGCTCGAGGTCCCTTCCTCTCGGGATCCCTGGGGGGTTTCTTTGTTCCGTGTGTCGCGAGCGGTGTTGGTGGCCTGATCTCCTCGAACTGGATATAATGGCGAGCTCTGTCGAGGAAGTCTTGGAGGGATTTTGGCCGGTGGATGGCCACAGCCTCGTAAAATTTGGAGTCTCGGTGTAGGCCCTGCTCCATCAGGTAACGTTTCATCTCGTCTGAAGTCGTCACCTAGATCGCCTCCCTCGTGAACCTCTCGATGTAGTTCTTGAGGGGCTCATCAGGGGCCTGAATGATCGCACCCAGCATGGCTTCCGTCTTCGGATGGCGCCTGGATGCCATGAAGTTCCGTGAAAATAGGTCCTTCAGGACCCTCCACGACGTGACAGACTCCGGTTCCAGGCTCTTGTACCACGTCATAATGCCTTTCCTCAGGGTCATCGAAAAAAGCCTGCACTTGATGGCTCCCCGGACGTTGCGATAGTCGAGCATAGCCTCGATGTCTTCCAGGTGGTCGTCCGGGTCCGAGGTGCCGTCGTACGTTGAGAGCATGGGCGGTTTCTCCAGCCCGTGAGGGATGGGGGCCGCCATGATCTCCCGGGACAACAGGGTCCTGTAATCGTCCTCGTCGCTGAGGATCGGGGACTGAGGGGGTGAGGGCCTGTGTCGAGGAGGAGGTTGGTTCCGCATCCTCGGTTGTCAGACCAGAGCCTCGGGTCTCCCCGTCCTGGATTCCTGAGAGCGTCTATCCTTCCGGGTCGGCGACCTTGCCCATTTCTTGGAGACCATAGGTTAGGGCCTCTCCAATTGTGGTTGGCGCCCCCTTGGTTGGGGAGAGGGGCTCCGAGAGTTCCCGCGCTGATCTCCCCGCGGAGGGGAGCGGGACGAGGTGTCATGTTCCAGCGCGCCAATGCGCTCATTCTGCCAGAATAGCATCTCATTTGTCTAGTTGATGGCCGCGAAGAGGGCGACTATCATCGGATTCGCACCAGTCGGAGTAGGGATGGGCTGGAATATTGTCGAGCTCCTTGCCCGAGGAATGATATGGTGTGGCGCGTCCTTGGAGGAAGGGCAGGTAGTCTGGTCGTCCCTGACGTCGGTCTCGCAGAGTTGCAATGTCCCCACCTGGCCGTCGCCGTTGGTGACGGGGACGAGGGCGGAGTTGTGAACAACGCCATAATGGCGTGGGCTAGTCATGATCCTGAAGTTTTGAGAGATGAAGCTTTGATTCTCTGCTCGGAGGAACGGGGAAGCTTAGATCCCCACAGTCGGCGCCACTGATCGTACCTGACCAGAAGGGGATCAATGATCTACCACACGTCGTCGATCTGGAAGTTGTTCACCCAAAGTATGGAAGAGGAGGGGGTGTATCTGAAACACACTCCAATGCCAAAGCAAGTGACGGGAAGAGTGGAAGCAAACACAGAGACGGAGTAAGAAAGTTAATTTACCTGACCCTCTAGTGAAGAGGGTATTTATAGTGAGCCCCCGACGTAGGGAAAACGGTTACCTAGCACTGGGTTGGCTGTCAGGCCCAATGTTAGTAACTGCTAGGACTGACGTGGCGTCGTGAAGACCAGCATGTGGTCTTCGTCCTAGGGTAATTGTTACGCACTATCCGGGAGGAGGAAGACCGAATCTCCAGGAAGTGGGTAGTTACTTTATGATGTGTCCCTGCGTGAGGGACATGTGGAGAACATGGGGGAAGGCCCGAGGAGTTCCCTGGGCAGACAGAGGTGGCTAGTCGGACGCGAGGGTTCTGTCCGACTATGGGGAAGAAGAAGGCTGACTGGTCGGATGCGAGGGTCCTGCTCGACAGCTGTTGGTCTATGCCCGGCGGGGAGATGTTGTGCTCGACGGGGATCCTGCCCGTCAGCGTGATATTCTTGGGCCCAACCTCACTGGGCTTGGGCTTGCTTGGTGGTGATCTAAGCGCCGGCCCAGTCCAGAACATTAAATATTTTATTCTTAATTATGTAAATACATTGAATCAAATATCATTCTTGACTTTTTTTAAGTTATTTATTTTGTTAAAATAATTTGTTGTTAATTTATAAATTATTTGAGATAACATTTTGCATAAGTCATTAAAGTATAGTAACTTTTCAAGCAAGGATGAATGTCACTTTCTTTATGAGGTTAGACGTACACTAGTAGAAAAATTACTTTTTTAGCAGAGGTTGTTAAGTCAGTTAACTTGCCACCTGACTTAAGAAGTGATGCGGTGGCAATTTTGTAAATATTTATAACTTAGTTAAGTCGGGTGCATTTAAAACCGATTTAACAAAAATTAAATAAAAAATATACAATTCACTTTAAATTTCTTAAGTCATATGTGTTTACTAACTGACTTAAAAAATCAATTTATTAAGTCAGGTGTCGTCCACCTGACCTAAGAAGTTTTATTTACTTGTAACAAATTAAATTTTGTGTATACCAGAGGGAATCGAGTTGAGTATCCTTAAAAAATATAGTTAAATAATAAAATAAAAGAGGGAAAGGGGGCGATATGCACGACAAATGGATTAGGGTTTTTATTTCCCTTGTCTTCTTCTCCATTGTGAATCTGTCGCCGGCGGCTCCCATGACGAGCTTACCACTTCCCGTCCGATCTTCTTCTTCACGATTCTCACCCGCTTTTCTTCTTCCTTTTCGTGACATCTAAAAAAAACAAACATTCGGTTAAAGAGAAAATGGCTCACCCTTCGGGATTTGGAGCGACTGTTAAGGTTGAACTCAATGGAACCGTGATTCGTTTTAACTCTTTTCGGGATTACGCTGATCTCTTTCTGAAATGTGTTGAGAAGTCTAAACCCACACCCCTGCCAAGGTTTGTTTCTACAGACACTTAGTTTGAAAACTCAATCTATGGGCGTGTCGGTTTGTTTTCCGTTGTTATATAACTTAATTTTGTTGTTGTTTGTTATTAGGATTCATGCCAAAGAAGGTGATAGGTGGGAGATCTGTGTGAGTCTAAGTGATGGGCAATTTCAACAGCTAGACAAGCTAATTTTGGTTCCAAGTGTGATGTTCCAGAATCAATGCTTAAGGATGGTTAGTAATGCATCATTTGTTGTTTGTAATTGTATCAATACTTTCATGTTTTTTACACTCACATGTTGTAAATCTATGCAGTTGAAAAATCTGGAATAGTGGACACCCTCTTGTCATGGGCAAATTTTAAACAAAGTAAAGATCTGAAAAAAACTGATGGAACTAAGACTCATAGGATTCGTGGGATTATAAAGCTTGAGGATGCCAATGATGCTGGTCGAAGGAACTCCGAGAAATGTACCTTGATATTGACGGAGGGTGATTCTGCTAAGGCTCTCGCGGTTAGTTGTTGCTTATTGTTTATTTATTGTATATATATTATACATATAGAAAGAAATGCATTTCAATTTTTGGTGTTTGCAAGAAAAAGGTTGAAACATATATTCATTTTAATTTAAAGTATGTCATACAAAATCCCTAACATTTACAAATACTGATGAGAGTTTAACTTAATTTGATTTTTTTCTTCTTTTGTGTATGAAGATGGTCGGGCTCTCTGTAGTGGGCCGAGACCACTATGGTGTGTTTCCGTCGAGAGGAAAATTGCTCAATATGCGGGAAGCTAGTAGCAAACAGATAATGGAAAATGAAGAAATTCAAAATATAAAGAAGATACTTGGGCTGCAGCAAAACAAGGAGTACACAAATGTGGAGTCTTTGAGATATGGTCATTTGATGATTATGGCTGATCAGGTGAGGGTTACTTACTTAAAGATCATTGTTTAATAATATTTGATTTTATGCTCACTTTCAATAGAATATGAATGAGACCCTACATATTATAGATGTTTTTCTTATCACTGGAGTTATAAAAGCTCAAATTTATGTGTGATCCAGGATCATGATGGCTCCCACATCAAAGGGCTTCTGATTAACTTCATTCATTCCTTTTGGCCATTACTGCTTAAGGTTCCATCTTTCATGGTTGAGTTCACTACTCCTGTTATAAGGGTTAGTAGGTTCCATCTTTCTTTTGTTGTGTGTAGGGTTTTGTGGAGGACCAGTTTGGATTAGGCTTAATTGCTAGGGCAGTTGAAGAAGGGATATCGGTAATCAAACCAAATGGTATGATTGAGCTTTGTATTATTCTTCCTTTAGGAGTTGTATGATTGAGCTTTGTTGACTGTTTGTAAAATCTCCCAGGTGTGCCACAGTAGCAGTTGCTGATGTTATGCATGCACAGCGAGTTGTGCCACAGTATGGGGTGATGGGATTTACTAGGATGGGAGCTGGATTGCCTGCATTGGAAAGCAGTAGTTGCCATGAAGCTCATCAGACATTGCAGGAGCTGCGAGCTAACTCCAATCCTGGTTTGTTTTTTTTTCCTGAATAAAGTATTTGATCTTGTTCTCTGTTTTGGATTTAATTTAACTGAAATTTTATCTCAGGTTTCCCTTGTTAGCAAAGATTCCTCTATGTTAGATGGGCTTGACAATGCCAGTATTGAAATGGAAGAAGCCAAGGTTTGTGATTTTATGATGACTTATAGTCCTTTTTCTACCATCAAGGCTTTGCAATAATGATGATAAATTGAGTGTTGTTTATGCTCGAACATTCTGCAGGCTCGGCTGAATGAAATTATTACTTCTAATTTAAAGACCATTCATAGCGATGAATCGCCTGAATTTTCTTGGATGGTTGATGGAGCTGGATTGCCATCCAATGCATCAGAGTTGCTTCCAAAGTTGGTATGTTTTGTAACATAGCTACACATCATTGTGCCTTTGATCCCTTCATGATTAAGAGGGGAAGCTAAAATGCTCTTTTCTTAAATTGAAGAAAGTTATCTAGATCTCTTATGAAAGTCATTAAATACTTGGTATATGCTGACAAGTGTCTGCTGCCTTATGAAGATTCTAGTATTTAACTTCATTTTAGGTTCGTCTAGTTTTGCTACAATAAAAATTGTCTGAAAGTGAAAGTCTTAATTCTTATTGAGACTTAAGAGATAGCATCTCAATCAAGTATGCTATTATCTACACCATATCTTAACATGGAACCCTTTCTATCTGCAGCGGAAAAGAATAGTCGTGATAAATGATTCATTATGTTTAAAGTGCATAATAGTGTGTAAAGTAGCCTTCTAAACAAGCAAACTGAATTGAAACTTGAAGAGCCTGCATAATACATAAAGTTGTTCAATCTAGGAAAAAGAGGGATCATCAATGCACCCATTTAAGGGGTTTGTGATTAGACAGATGGAAATTCTTTTTAAATGAGCAGAACCCCTGTTAAACAACCTTGAGTAGAACTTGAAATAGATTGTACATTATATTTCGAATTCTTATTATGACAATTCTTTTTTATAAATCCTTCTTATATGCAGACATATTTTAAGATCACAAATATGTCAGAAAATAATTGATTTAGTTGGAATTATCAAATTTGAATAGATTAATGATTGGTAGGGTAGGTTTATTTTTCATTTTACATGATCATGCTGATCTTATGTCAATATTCAGATCATGTTATCTTTCGCCTGTCGGAAACCTGTTTGTTTGCTGTTGTCTGAGTTTACTAATCAACACATGCTGATCTTATGTCAATATTTAGATTGACGAAAAGGGAAGATTGTTCATACCTCAACTTGATTGACAGGTTTTATATACTTTATAGAGATATACTCTATTGTTATTATTTCAATCCTAATAATCTAATGTATTCCTAATAACCATAAACATAATATTTAGTAATTATTTGTAATATATTTAGTTATTTACATAGTCTAATAAAATCCTTAGTCTCTAGTGCACAAATTCAGTTGTTTTGAACATTACTTTGTTCTTTTTGCAGATTGGTGAAAACAAGATTGTTCAGAAGACTTGAACATGCGTTGAAACTGGTTATTTGTAAATCTGTTTGAAAACAAGGTAAAAAAAAAACATATTTATTTTGTTTACTTTTTCAGTATTTTTTGTTTGTGGATTCTTTTCATTTTCACTCTGCACTGCCTTTGAATATTCATAGCCTGTTTGTTTTCAGATTTCAATGATGAAGTCTCATTTGTAAATCTGTTCATTGTTTGTTCAAATGTAGGTGATTACCATGAGATATACCAAGCACCATAGCAACATGTATTTCGCTCGGCGGAGTCCTTGGGACTGCTTCAATGCGAAAAGCCTATTCTAACAAATGGTCGCTTGTGTTTCTATGGATTTCGTAGGATTTACGTAATGGCTTGTTCCTCATGTAACAACTTAGCTTTAGAATTTTTCATAATTGATTCGCGTTTCCGAGCTGTAAATTTCGGATACAACTTGCAATTTGTAAAAACTGTTAATTTGATTAATAAACCAAATTTAGCAATACTGGCTTTACATTGTTATGAACTTCCAACCTTCCAATCTTTAAAATATTTTGATTGTTAACCGATTCTTTAATATATATATATATATATATATATATATATATATATATATATATATATATATATATATATATATATATTAAAAAAAGTGTTATTACAAAAAAAAAACTTCTTAGGTCAGTTAATTATACCCGATTTAAGAAAGTAAGTTCTTAGGTCGGGTATAAATGGTTTCTGCAGGCTAGACTTAGTAAGTCGGGTTCTGTATAACCGACCTAATAATAGTTTGTTAAGTCAGGTCCACAACCGACTTAAGAAGTCAAAACCTCTTATGTCGCTAATTCTTAGGTTGGGCTCGGACCCGACTTAAAAAGCTTTTTTTCCACTAGTGATAACTTATTTATTATTTTTAAATCTCATGTGACTTATTATATAATTGTATATAAGAAGAAATTTGTGTATGATACTCTCTTAGAAGTATAAAGGTAGCAATTTCTTATATATATATATATATATATATATATATATATATATATATATATATATATATATATATATATATATATATATATATATATATATATATATATATATATATATATATATATATATATATATATATATATATATATATATATATATATATATATATATATATATATATATATATATATATATATATATATATATATATATATATATATATATATATATATATATATATATATATATATATATATATATATATATATATATATATATATATCAATGAATAAATTTTAATTTTGCGAGTATATTTGAAATCTTATTATTTTGAGAGATTATTGTCACTCTCTCATTGGTTGAAATATGCGTGCCCATTTTATGTGGTACCTATTTATAAAGTGAGAGACTCACACATGTTTTAACTAATATAAGAGTGTTTGAGAGAGTGTTGAAAAGAGAGTGTTGCTAGCACTCCTCTTAAGTAATCACTTTTAATTTGTATAATTGTAATCTCACTTATCATAGATACAATTACACAAATTTTATTTTTTATAAAATATAACCATTATTAATTTGTATGATTGTAACTTACTTATTGTGGGTACAATTGTACAAATTCTATTTAATAAAATAATCATATTAATTTTAATTATAATAAATATTATATTAATAATAAGTATACTATTTCGGTGTGTTATTATTAATATAATTTATTGTTGTTTAGTGTACTTTTGATTTTATACTTGTGTCAATTATGATTCGAATACCCTGTCGGTATTAGAATTTTTTGGTGGCATACTATTTGTACTTTGTTGTTAAACTTCTTATTTATTACTATTTGTTACAAAACTAAATAAAACAATATAGAGATCAAAGAGAGAAAGAGAAGAGAGAAAGTAATATTAAATTATCTTCTGCAAAAGTACACTTTCATTGCAATATGGATCTTATTTATAGTACATAATCAATGAATAACCATTAACTTAAGAAATACACAAAGGTTGGGAAATTAACTCATAGGAGTTAAGGAATATAGAAAGTTGGATAAATGAACATCCACATCTATTTACTATTATTCATAATACTCTTTCTTGGATGTTCATTGAGGATATGTCTCGTTAAAACCTTACTAGAAAAAATTCAGTGGAAAAAATCTAGAGTGAAGGAAAAAGAGCACAATATCCTTTTAAAGAAAATTCATTTCTCCCCCTCAGCTGAACGATCATTTCTTCGACGATGAATACCAATCTTTTGTACTAGTTGATTAAAAGATCTACTAGAGAGTGACTTTGTGAAAAGGTCTGCAAGATTATCACATGAACATATTTGTTGGATGTTTATATCACCACTCTTTTGAAGATCATGAGTGAAAAAGAACGTTGGAGAAATGTGTTTTGTTTGATCTCCTTTGATGTAACCATCTTTCAATTGAATGATGCATGAAGTATTATCTTCATATATGGTCGTTGTATTTAATTTTTTAGAAGATAAACCACAAGTATTTTGTATGTGCTGAATTAAGGATCTCAACCAAATGCATTATTGACTTGTCACATGTAATGCTAAAAGTTCTGCATGATTAGATGATGTTGCTGATATGGTTTATTTCATTGATCTCCATGAAATAGTTGTACCCCCACATGTAAACAAATAACCTGTTTGTGATCTACCATTATGAGGATCTGACAAGTAACCTGCATCTGCATAACCTGTTAATTCGAATCTGGATACTTTAGTATAAAATAAACCCATGTCTATTGTACCTCTAAGATAATGAAGTATGTGTTTGACTCCGTTCCAATGTCTTCATGTAGGTGAAGAACTGAATCTTGCTAATATATTGACAACAAATGATATATCAGGACGTGTATAATTAGCAAGGTATATTAGTGCTCCAATTGCACTGAGATATGGTACTTTAGCACCAAGCAATTCTTCATCATTTTCTCAAGGTCTGAAAGGATCTTTCTCCACATCTAATTATCTAAAAATCATTGGAGTAGGCAACGAGTGACATTTGTCCAAATAGAAGTGTTTTAACACTTTTTCTATATAGCTTTCTTCATGGATAAATATTCCTTTGTCCAAATGTTCAATTTGTAAACCTAGACATAATTTTGTCTTTTCTAGGTTCTTCATCTCAAACTCTTTCTTTAAACAATTCATAGCTTTTGGAAGCTCTTCAGAAGTTCTAATAATATTTATGTCATCCACATAGACATCTATTATTACAAAAAAAATCCTGATCTTCTATAAAAATACAAGGACAAATGGAGTTATTTGTATATCCATCTCTAAGCAAATATTCACTGAGACAGTTATACCACATTCGTTCAAATTATTTCAACCCATAGAGAAACTTGTTCAATCTTATAAAGTAGTTTTCTCGAGATTCGGAGTTGTGTGCATCTAGTATATTGAACCCTTCATGGAGTTTCATGTAAACTTCATTATCAAGTGAACCATACAGATAAGTTGTTACAACATCCATCATGTGCAAATTAAGCCCTTCATGTGCTACAAACCTAATTAAATATCAAAATTGATTTGCATCCACTGCAGGTGGATATGCTTCATTAAAATAAATAGTAGGTCTTTGTGAAGATTATTGAAAAATAACCCAAGCTTTGTATCTTACAATTTCACCATTCTTATTTTGCTTTTTCACAAAAAAAAAGAAGTCATTTATACCCAGTTGATTTTACACCTTGAGGTGTTCAAACTACATGTCCAAAATCGAGTTACTTGTAAAGTGAGTTTAATTCTTCTTCAATTGAATATGTTCATTTTGGCCAATTATCACTTTGTCTATAATATTTTATATACTTTGACTCACAGTCCTCATTATTATTTATCATCTTTAACGCTATATTGTACACAAAGATATTGTTAATATTGACTTTATTTTGGTTCCATCATATTCCATTCATGACATAATTTATCCCGATCTGTTAATTTTCATAAATTTCAGGTACCTGGTTAGTTCTTTTATAACTCAAAATTAAATTATGTCAAAGTGCTCTTAGAGTTTTCATATCCTTATTTGGTTCATTTTAAACTTTAGTTTCTTTTCTTGGTAGAGGACTTTTAACATCGGAACCGACTTTTCTACCACGCTTGAGGCACGACTATAACTCATTTGCAATATTATATTGTCCAATATGAAAATCCACTTTGAGTGGAATATTAGCAGCTAATAATTTATTTCATAAACTTTGCAAATTAACGGCATTTTGAACTTCAACTATCAAAATCATATAATAATATTTTATTTCAAATTGTTCATTTGAACTTCTGGTTCACACTTTGCGCTGCTTGTTCTCTCCCCCTAATATTGAGAAAATTAATTTATAAATTGATAATCAGTCTATTGAACTTCAAACAAGTACCCAATTATTGGACCAATATAAAACCTTAAATACGATATTCATATAAAATGCATTTTCTCAATATTCTTTCAAAACTCATATTAGCGTACTATATTGGAGCAATAGAATAACCATAACACATCCAAAAGTTTACTTATATGAGAAGTATTAGATTATGAATCTAAAATAATTTTTAAGTTAAGAGGATAATTATCATGTACTAAATTGTTGGCTTAATGTGAATGAATATCTTAATATCATACTTTGGGTGTTTCAAATATATGATTTAGAATTGATGATCTCACAAGTATCAGCTATATAATTAAATTTAAATGTCTAAAGAATAAATCTTCAAGTCCATTTTTTATGAGCATATCCTTCAAGATGTTTAATATTA